TATGCCAACATCAAATAAATGTGATGGCAGTTTTGTACATATATTCCATCAACGCAAAAAGTGAGAGATACAAATGTCATAGTGCATCACATTTAGTTAAATGTGTTATTCGCACCGCTCACACGTTAAACATTATTACCATTTGATCTTAAACCTATAATAAGGAGTTTTATACAAGTATATATATGTATAAAGGTTTCAAATACAATTGATATGAACTAATACGAACAAATATATAACTATTAACAAACATGTTTAGATCGATTCAAGGGCGCGTGCATGAGCAAAAATAAGAGTGAATTGATACAAAAAGAAACTGAAAAAATTCACACATAATTTTTTACATTAAAAAAATATAAGGGCCTGTTTACTAACAGAGATATTTTCCTGTTTTCTACTTCTGTTTTTCGTTCTCCAATTTTCTGTTTTTATTTTTCAGTTTTTCTATCTCCAATTTTCTGTTTCTATTTTTTAGTTTTCCATTTTCAAATCTGAAAACATGTTCATCAATTTTTTCACCCAGTTCTCCAATTCCACACCCTTGACCCCTACCCCTACCCTTACCACGATCTTACACTCTACCTATACTCTCCCACAACCCTTCATACCCACCCATACCTACTCGCAGAGGTCGGGGTAGGGAAGTTATGGGTGGGGGTGGGGTAAGGGGTATGGTCGGGGTGGGGTGGTAAGGTCTAGGGTTAGGGGGTTGGGTGGGGGTAGTGGGTGGGTTAGGGTCGTGGTTAGGGGTAAGGGTGGGGTAGTGGGTAGGATTGGGGTAAGGTAGGGGTAGGGTAAGGAGTTGGGATAGGATGGCGGTAAGGTGGGGCCGGGACCAGGGTGGGGCCGAGGTAGGGAAGGGGTAGGGTGGGGGGGTAGGATGGCGGTAAGAGTGGGGGGTAGTGGGTAGGGTTGGGGTAAAGTAGGGGTAGGGTAGGGAGTTGGGATAGGATGGCGGTAGGGTGGGCCCGGGATCCGAGTGGGGCCGAGGTAGGGGAAGGGTAGGGTGGGGTGTAGGATGACGGAAGGGTGGGGGGGTAGGATGGCGGTGGGGTGGGGCCGGGGTAGGGGGCATGTGGTAAGGGGTAAGGGGTAATATACGGGTGGGGGTAGGATAGGTGGGTCGGGGTGGGGTCGAGGTGGTAGGGGGTGGCGGTAGGGTAGGGTGGATCAGAGTGGGGCCGAGGTAGGGGCATGTGGTAGGGGGTAGAGTAGGGTCATTATAGGGAAAAATGAGTACACGGGTGGGGTTGGGTGGGTAGGGTAGGGGTAAGGTACGAACATGGAGGTACCAGAATGGAATCGACATCGGAGCGGGACCGGACCCACCACTAGGTGTAAGTATGCAAATTCATTGCAGCGGCACTGTAGCATTTGCGTTTTCCAAATTTGGAAAACTAGTAAAAGTCACTTCTCCAAATCATTAAGGAAAAGAGAGACATGTCTCATTTTTTCCGTTTTGGAAAACAATTTGGTAAACACGTTTTTCTTTTTCCCTTTCTCCAGTTTTCCAGCAATTTCTTTGGTAAACACGTTTCATGTTTTCTGTTTTCCACTTTTCCAGTTTTCTGGAAAACTGGAAAATATCTCTGTTAGTAAACAGGCCCTAAGTATTTTTCGAATTTGGGGTGGACCCGACCCGATAAAGCCTCCTCACCTGATACTAATATATGTATATATATGAAGTTTTTTTTTTTTGGGGGGGGGGGGGGGTGAGGAGGAACTTTTTACAAAGTATTGATTAAAGAGCCAGAGTTGTTCAAGATGATTGGGCAATAGACTTACACAATGAATGTAGCTAAAATTTTAAAGAATCATATGTGACGAGTAATTCTATGGAATCACATGTGACTCTCTTATGGAGTCACATGAGGTGTTGTGACATAATTCATACCATTTATTTTTTAGTGAGGGACCCCACAAAAAAAGGGTAGATATCATGCCACAACACCTGGATGCAGTGTTTTAGATGAAGAGATACGACCCCTTTAATTATATCTCCATCTTCTTGTAGAACATATTCTTACTAGCAGGACATATCCTAATCAGGTTATAAACGAATAAAATAATTTTGATTCAATTCAGATTCGAAAATGTGGATTCGAATTGGAATAAATAGAATACATATACAGATACAAATCTATTTTTTTATTCGAATACGAATAGGGGTACAGTGGGAGTATTTCTTTCTTCGGTTGTTCAAACAAATTCAACACTGCAACTTAATCAATTAATGTGTGTTTCCAGTTATTTATCTGTTTTCTGCACAAATCTCAACCATACAATTTTTATTTTATTATTATTTCTCGTGGCAGTCAAATTGATGATGTTATATAGGAGAGAACATTATTCTTTTTGTGATTGTGTAAAAGTTTCATATCATGCACACATAACTTTAACTTAAACACGAACTAAGTACTTTATGTTCCAATGAGAATATGTGATAATGGCGATACTCTCAAGCAAGAAGTCACAATTCCGAACCATGTTCCAGTATAATAAGGATATTGGCTTTTAAGATTGAGTTCCCCCGGATTAATGATGATTAAATAAATAGATCCCAAAATATTGTTAAGTTTAAAATAATTTTCGAAATGCTATTAATAAATAGATCCCAGAATACTGCTTTTTATTATCTGTCTAACGATACCAATATTGAATATAAAACTTTGAAAAAAAAAACTATTTCCTCTAAATATCAATTTTAGTCCTATTTTTTAATCTGAAATTGACTCAAATAAGAGTAAAACATAGGATTAGTTCCTAAATAAGAGTCTAAGTTTTTTATTCCCTAAATAAGACTTCATTTACTAATATACCCCTCTTATTAAAAAACCCTTTCCCCAAACCCATTTCACGCCACTCTGCTCCCAGAATCGTCGATTGAACTCCAACGCCTCCATTCCTTCTTCACTGCCCATTTCGATTGTGCGGCCGATTGAACTCCAATGCCTCCAGCTCCAACGCCTTTCTTCGTCTGTTTCGCCTCCACCATCGCCGGATCACCTTGCCGATTTCAGATTGTAAAGTGGATAGCAGGTTTTCATCTCTTCTTCATCACTTCTTCTTCCACCTTCTTCTTCTTCTTCTTCTTTTCTTTTCTTTTCTTCCTCCTCCAACCTGCGACATCCTCCTTATTCCTCTTTTTTCTTCTTCATTTGTTTTTTTCATTTCTATCTACAATCTGAAAACTGAGATCTGGAACTTTGAGGCTTGGTTTTTTATTTTTTTATCCAACTTTTGATTTTTAGATTTTTAATCTGACGTTTTGCTTTGATTTCCTTTCATTTGTGTTCCAAAAACAACATCTGATTTTTCTTCATCATTTTCAAATTGATTTTTTTATTTAAAAAATTAATTTCATTTTAGTGACATTTTATTTATGAAGATGACAATGATACTAGCTCCTTTGAAATAAAGTAATTATTATAGTGCCATATTCTCTACCCAATATTATCATTTTTATGGCACTAATTTTATGAAAAATGGCAACATTAGTTTTAATATGATGTTTTGTGAGTGCCAAATTTTTGGACTGCCAATGCCATTTCTGGGTTATGAATGCCAAATTTTTGGACTGCCAGTGCCATTTATGGGGTGAGTGTCATGTTTTTAAACATCAATGCCAAATTTTTTGAGAGATCAATGCCATTTTTTAAAACACCAATGCCATTATTATTATTATTATTATATGGCATTAATGTGTAAGTCCTTTTACTGTTCAGAACGATGGTGAAGGCATGGCAGAGCGCGACGTCGTCGGGAGGCGGTGCCGGACTTGTCAGACAGGGCCAGGAGATTCGTCGGCGGCGGTGGCTCCGTTGAGGAGGCGGCGGCGGCGGCGGCTCCGTTGAGGAGGCGGCGGCGGCGGCTCCGTTGAGGAGGCGGAGGCGGAGGCGGCGGCTCCGTTGAGGAGGTGGCGGCGGTGGCTCCATTGAGATGGCGGTGCGGGCTCCGTTAAGATGGCGGCGGGGGCTCTGTTGAGATGGTGGCAGCGACAGCCATGAGGTGCAGCGGCTGTGTGCTTGGGTGTGGGGCTGTGGGGCTGCAGATCCATTAGAGTTGCAAAGATTATTTCCCCTTTTAATTGAGTTAAAGTGAAATATCATTTCATTAAGGGTAATATGGTCCAGCCACTACGTCTTTACTCCTATTAAAGACCTCCTAAACATTGGACTCCTATTTAGCAATTTATTCCTTGTTTTACTCCTATTGAGGGAATTAACCCTTTTTTAATTTTTTAATATGCAATACTGGTAATATGAAAGATCACAGGTAGTATAAAGTAAAAAATTGGTATTTTTTTTTAATTGAACAATAAATGAAAAAGTTATACTACCTCCTCCCTTTTTATTTTTTCCATCTTTGACCTTTCCTTTAATAAATATGAAAAATTTTGATCCATTATTTTAACTAGGAATCCTTCTAACTAATATATTTATGTGGAAATCTCACTAAATTTATTCTTTTATGATAATATTTTTAATAAAGAATATTTCTATATAATTTTCATATTATCACTATTATCGTGTATAAAACTTTAATATATAATCGGTCAAAATTTAACATTATTCACTAAATAAAAAGAAAAATCGTTGTTATACACCAAATCAGTACACAAATCGTATTCAACTTTCCCAATTGTCAGTGTAGATAATTCATTTGAAAAAAACAAGATTTTATACAAAAGTATCTAGGTAAACAAGCAGTGTACAATTCGTGTACAAATTTGGAGTATGGCAACAATTATCCAAATAAAAGGGATGAAGGAGTGACACTCTAAAACTATTACTCCCTCCGTCCCATATAAATGAGCCCACATGGTTTATGATTTTTTTTTACGATGTTTGACTGACTATAAAGTTAATTGATCTCTATAATTGATAAGATTATTTTTAGCAAATAAAATTTACATATTCAAAAATCATACTCCCAGTAATGTAAAATAAAAGATTTATAAATGGGACAGAGGGAAGAGGGAGTAGCATGCCACGTAACAATTCGGATGAACATCATCCCTCGAAAGATTGCTCTCCCATTACACATAACCACTTAATTCCCAGTGTACAGACTACAGATAAGCCTATTATCTCGTTTCTTTCAGCCATGGAGTCATTGTTAGTTTTCTAAATGTTTGCTCTGTAAGTTTATCTCTGGCTTTCAGCTAAGTGATTGAATCCAAGCATTCGATCTTTTGAAGTTCATTTTAAAATATGGCTGTGGTTGTACTTCATTCCTCAAGGTTCTTTTGCGCTTATTACGATTGTATATCCGTAGCGGAGACTACTCCAGGTAATAATAGCTTCCTGTCAATGTGTGTTTCCATGAGTAATGGAAGAGCTGGCTGCAGAAAGTTTAAAGCTTTGAAGGTTTTCGAGCCTAGTTCTGTAGGCAATTGGAAGAAAACTGAAAATGAGGGTGTCTTCCAGAACCAGAATGAGACGAACTCTTCGGCTGAGAATCTAAGGAGTGGTGTTTCCTCGGAAGAAGTGTTTGAGATCCTGAAGTCGTTATCAAATCCGAGCCAGGCTTTTTCTATGTTTATGTCTGTTGTTAAACTGCCTAGGGTGATTCATACCACAGAAACCTGTAATTACATGCTTGAGCTTTTGAAGATTCATGGGAGGGTCAATGATATGGCTACAGTGTTTGATGTAATGCAAAAACAGATCATATGTAGGAATATTGAGACCTATTTGACTATATTTAAAGGTCTTCACATTAGGGGAGGGTTAAGACAAACACCATTTGCTCTAGAGGGGATGAGAAGAGCAGGTTTTATTTTAAATGCCTATTCCTATAATGGATTAATACACTTACTGATTCAAGCTAAATTAACTCAGGAAGCTTTAGAAGTTTATAGAAGAGCTGTTTCAGAAGGAATTAAGCTGAGCCTTAAGACTTACTCGGCATTAATGATTGCTTGTGGGAAAAGAAAAGACACCCTGACAGTCCTGAGTTTATTAAACGAGATGGATAATTTAGGATTGAAACCTAACATTTACACCTTTACCATCTGTATAAGAGTGCTCGGGAAAGCTGGAAAAATCGATGATGCCTGTACTATATTGAAGAGAATGGAAAATGAGGGGTGCACGCCTGACGTCATCACATATACAGTTCTAATTGATTCCCTTTGTATTGCTGGAAAACTTGACACTGCAAAAGAAATTTTTGCTAAAATGAAATCGGTTAGCCAGAAACCTGATCGAGTCACATATATCACACTGTTAGACAGGTTTAGTGACTCTGGGGACTTGGATTCTGTGAGAGATTTTTTTAAAATGATGGAAGCTGATGGCTATGGAGCAGATGTTGTTACTTTTACGATACTAATTGATGCATTGTGTAAAGTTGGGAAGGCCGATGAGGCTTTTTCCACTTTAAATGCTATGAAAGAGAAGGGAGTATTACCTAATCTTCATACTTACAACTCACTGATTAATGGCCTTCTAAGAATGAATAAAGTGGATGAGGCGACACGACTGTTCGATAATTTGGAGTCTTTTGGAATTCAGCGTACTTGTTTCACGTATGTCCTCTTTATCGACTATTATGGAAAGGTTGGAGATCCTGATAAAGCACTTCAGATGTTTGAGAAGATGAGAGTTCATGGGGTTGTGCCAAATCTCGTAGCTTTCAATGCTTCTTTGTATAGCCTGGTAGAATCTGGCAGGTTCAGGGAGGCTAAGAGTTTTTTTTATGGAATTAAAAAGAGTGGTCAAGTTCCAGATTCTATAACTTATAACATTATGATGATGTGCTACAACAGTGCTGGGAAAACTGATGAAGCCATTCACTTGCTACATGAGATGATGGAAAATGAATGTGAGCCTGATGCGGTTTTAGTCAATTCATTGATTGACATGCTTTATAAGGATGGTCGAACTGATGAGGCTTGGAATTTTTTTCATAGAATGAAGGATATGAAACTTGTTCCTACGATAGTGACTTATAACACACTCTTGGCTGGACTTAGAAGGGAAGGTAGAGTTAAAGAGGCTTTTAAATTATTTGAGAGCATGGGCAGAGAGGGATGTTTTCCAAACACAATAACCTATAATACTCTTCTGGACTGTCTTTGTAAGAACGGCGAGGTTGATACAGCCATGAAGATGCTTTATGAAATGACAATAAAGAACTGCAATCCTGATATTTTTACCTATAACACTGTCATTGATGGATTGGCTAAAGAGAAAAGGGTCCGTGAAGCATTTTGGCTTTTCAACCAGATGAAGAAGATTTTCCAGCCAGACTGTGTGACCATTAACATAATTGTTTCCAGCCTTGTAAAAGATGGCTCCGTTGAGTATGCTGTTAAAATTGCCGAGGATTTTGTTTGGAAAAGGCCACATTGGTCAAATGATTCTTTCTGGAGAAGTCTTTGCGATGGATTTGTGAATGAAACAAGATCAGAATATTCTTTGTTGTTTATAGAAATGCTGACATATAAGGGTATCTGCAAAAGTGAAATGATTATGGTATCTTTGATAAGGTCACTGTGTAAGAAAAAGAGAGCTCTTGATGCTCATCGTGTCTTTGAAAAGGTTACAAAATCTTTTGGAATTTGTCCAACTATAAAATCGTATTATCCTCTGATTGAGGGGCTTATTGATGCTCATCTTCCAGAGCTGGCATGGGATGTGTTCAGGGAGATGAAAAATGCAGGTTGTTCCCCAGATGTTTTCACATACAACGTGTTGCTCGATCATCTTGGGAAGTCTGGAAATATTGATGAACTTTTCAAACTGTATGAAGAAATGCTTCACAGAGGATGTAAGCCCATTGCCATAACTTACAATATACTTATCTCTGGTATGGTGAAGTTAGGTAAGTTAGAGAGAGCACTAGATTTTTATTATGATCTTGTCAGTGGTGGCTTTTCTCCCACTCCTTGTACATATGGTCCACTGATAAATGGTCTTTTGAAGGCTGAGAGGTTTGATGATGCAAAGAATTTCTTTGACGAAATGGCAAACTATGGTTGCAATCCTAACCCTGCCATTTACAATATTCTCATAAATGGGTTTGGAAAGGCAGGCGATCTGGAAACTGCCTGCCATCTGTTTGAGAAAATGATCAGAGAAGGCATTAGACCAAATTTAAAATCTTATACCATTCTTGTGGATTGCCTTTGCTTGGCTGGAAAAGTGGAAGATGCCATGCACTACTTTGAGGAATTGAAATCCTCAGGCATCAATCCTGATTTAGTTTCATACAATCTTATGATCAATGGCCTTGGAAAGGTGGGGAAGTTCAAGGAAGCCTTATGTCTTCTTGATGAGATGGGAAACAAAGGAGTCACTCCTGACCTTTATACATATAATTCTTTAATCTTCAATCTTGGAATGATTGGAAGGATGGAAGAGGCAGGGAAACTGTATGAAGAACTTCAGCATCTGGGTCTTGAACCTAATATTTTTACATATAATGCTCTAATTAAAGGGTATAGCTTGTCGGGTGAAACTGACCGAGCATTTGCAGTCTATGAAAGAATGATGGTTGGTGGCTGTACTCCTAACAGAGGGACATTTGCTCAATTACCAAATTCATGAGATAATCCCACATTCTTCATACGCAACTCGCGAAGCCAGAATGTGATGTGTAAGGTGCATTCTGCCTTTTCTCTATGCTCTTTCCTCTATTTATCTATTTTTTCAGGGGGGCGCTATTTATCCTAAATTAATAAATACTATCTTCTTTAACCTCAAATTTGAATTCTAATATTTCACTACATTTGGATGTAGGGGGCTTATCCAATTTCAGATATATCTCTAACTGGGGGTCATAGCAGTGATGCCAGGCATTAAAGATTGAAGGACCTCTTAGCAGTACTTAACGTTAAGGTGTGCTTTTGTTCTTTAAACAGATTTTGCATATTTGGTTCTTATGCATTCTTTAGTTTATTTTAAATGCACAGTACCATGGTTAAGGATTGTAATATATGCATGGCCAAAGTGTGAATTATTCTTTCATTTTAAGAGCATGCTGTAAAAATTTCTGGTAGAATTTCAATTTTCGCATGTGCTTTGGCAGTATTCTTGGCAAAAACTGTAGTCTATAATAATATATAAGTTCATTTCTTTACCCTCTGTTCACTGGTTTTTAAGTATAATAATCTTATCTCAGGCATCTCTTTGTTCAATTCTTCAAACACCTGGAAATATAAATTGAAGGCCACAGTCCAAGTATGCCATAAGATTGCAATTAAAGTAAATATCATGTGACTTGACTCACCTCGAAATATAAATTGAAGGCCACGGTCCAAGTATGCCATAAGATTGCAATTAAAGTATCATATGACTTGACTGACTTCTATCTTACTTCAAGTTGAACCATTGATGTTTGATAGCAGAACCTAACTGAATTGACATCGGAAAACTTCAACTCTTATGTAGATCTTTTGCTGTTCATATGCAAATGGTGGAACTAATATTTCAAAACCATGAACGGTAAAGGAGTATGTTTTAAAAAGTGTTTGTGAAGTGCCTTTGAACTTGTGGTTGATTCAAAACAACTCAAATATCTTTACCATTAACCGAGAAAATAACTGATGTCTCAAGGTGCTCAAGCCTTTTTTCTTGACAATGAAGAAATTAATGAATTCGGTTGTCCATGCCCAAACTCGTGATGTTGTTTAATAGTATATTTTAATTAACATCAAAATGGGATACATAGAACATCAATGCTAAGATATACTCTCTCCGTCCCGAAGCTTTCTTTCTAGTTTGACTTGGCATGGTTATTACGAAAGTGAAATTGTGTGGTTGTAAAGAAAACGGGAAGAAAATAATCTGACGGAGGGAATATATCATAAGCCTTATCTGGCTATTATTCATAGGGATCCACAAAACCAGTCTCGAGAGGGGTTATACTTGTTGTATTTTGAGAGAATTCCCTAAATAGGAGTAAAAACGTTTTGAAATTCCAAAATAGGAGTATCATGTTTTTTATTCCTTGAATAAGAGTAATCTGCCAAGTTTGGAAGAAAATGCCATGTTTAAAAGCCTTGTAATGCCAAACTTGGCAGAAATTTACTCCTATTTAGGGAATAAAAAACATGATACTCCTATTTTGGAATTTCAAAACGTTTTTACTCCTATTTAGGTCAATTTCTGTTGTATTTTCAGTAGGATGACTTTACTGTCCACGTAGCTGTTGCATTTTCTTTGTCAGGATGTATCAATATCAAAGAAGGGATAGAAAAAGAAAGTGTAGCATCTAGTGTTAACAAAATGGGGTTTTATATTTTGAAATGCTTACTGTAACTCTGTAAGAATCCTCATGCAACTTTAAGAAGTTCATGGTACATTTTTTTTTGTAGACACGCTGCCTTGATTCCTGGAATTGTATCCCTTTTCACTATGTCAGCAGTTGTTTGAGTTATAGATCGAGATGGTGGAAGGAAGAAGCAGTTCTGTTTCTGGTTCAACAGAAAAGATTACGGTAAGGAAGTAAGCAATTGAGGTTTATTCAATGAAATCCATCAAAGTTGTTCACTTTGCAACTTGTTCATGAATACCTTAACTAGGAATAGTGAGTAGTTATAGGATGTATGAGAGGAAGAAGTATTCCAAAGTATACATGGAAATAAATTCTATCACAATGGTGTATTGTAGATTTCTGTTCTGAAGAACCAAATGTATATTGCCTCCAAACAACAACAACAACAACAACATCCAAGCCTTATTCCCAAAAGATATTGGGGTCGGCTAACATGAATCGATACATGATATCACCACCAAAAGGAAAAGAATGAAAATAAAGATAAAAAGATAAGCTATTATGAAAAAGATAAAAAAATGAATATACCTAAGACTGATAGAATAAAAAGGATAAAAATAATGTTTATATGTATAAGGATAAAAGAATAAAAAAACAACAAAAAATGAGGGGAAAAGAAAATACGAAATCACTCCTCCACACGAATACTCGCCCTCCACTTTGCTCTCTCCAAAGTCATACCCTCATCTAACCCAAGAAAAAGCATATCACTTCGGACTCCCCTAACCCACGTCTGTTTGGGTCTTCCTCTCCCTCCCTTCCCTCTCTTCCCTGCCTCTTCTCCACACATCTCAACTCGTCTGACAGGTGCATCACTTGGTTGTCTACGCACATGACCAAACCACCGTAGGCGCGACTCCCGCATCTTGTCTTCAATAGGTGCTACTCCCACCCTTTGTCTAATTGTCTCATTCATCACGTGGTCCTTCCTAGTATGCCCACACATCCAACGCAGCATGCGCATCTCCGCCACACTCATCTTTTGAATGTGACATTGTTTCACCGCCCAACACTCTACGCCATACAGTAATGCAGACCTAATTACTGTCTTATAAAACTTACTTACCCTTCAGTCTAGTCGGCATACCTCTATCGCACAGAAATCCTGACGCACTCTTCCACTTCATCCACCCTGTTCTGATTCTATGGGATACATCTCCATCTAACTCACCGTCCTTCTGAATTATGGAGCCCAAGTAATGGAACATATCACTGACCGGTATCTCCTTACCATTTGAAGTAATTCCACTATTACCACTGCTTCTACCTCCACCAAACTTGCACTCCATGTACTCTGTCTTGCCCCAACTTAGTCTGAAACCCTTGTTCTCCAATGTTTCTCGCCATACTTCCAACTTTGCTTTAAGACCTGATTGCGTCTCATCAATTAATACAATATCGTCGGCAAACATCATGCATCAAGGTATTTCGTCTTGAATTGACTTCGTAAGTTCATCCATGACTATAACAAACAAGAAAGGGCTCAGAGCCGATCCTTGGTGCACTCCGATAGTAATCGGGAACTCCACAGTCCTCCCTACACCAGTACAGACACTTGTAGTACAATCCTCATACATATCCATGATGATGCTGATATACTTGCGTGATATGCCTTTTCTAGTTAAGGCCCACCAAAGAACTTCTCGAGGTACCCTATCATAAGCCTTTTCTAAGTCAATAAACACCAAATGCAGATCCTTGTGAGCGTCTATATACTTCTCCATAAGTTTCCGAAGAAGGCGAATGGCCTCAGTTGTTGAGCGACCAGGCATAAAACCGAATTGATTCTCTGAAATCTTTGTTGTTCTTCGAAGTCTTTGCTCAACCACTCGCTCCCAAAGTTTCATGGTGTGACTCATAAGTTTAATCCCTCGATAGTTGGCACATTCTTGTACATCACTTTTATTCTTGAATAAGGGGATAAGAGTACTCTTCCTCCAACTCGTTGGCATCTTGTTGTTTCTCCAAATCATGTTGAAGAAACTTGTTAACCACTCGATGCCTCTCTCTCCCAATCTTCTCCAAGCTTCGACCGGTATGCCATCTGGACCCACTGCTTTCTTCCGCCCCATCTTCCTTTGAGCCTCATTAACTTCCGTTGTTTGGATCCTTCTCACAAAATCACGATTTACCATACAATCTGGTATCGTCAAATCACCGATGTCTTGCGCTTTGTTCCCGTTGAATAGTGTATCAAAGTATGACCTCCACCTCTCTTTTATCTCCCCTTCCTTCATTAGTACCCTTTGATCGACATCTTTCACACACTTAACTTTTCCGATATCTTGAGTCCTACGGTCACGAAGACGAGCAAGTCTGTAAATATCTTTTTCTCCTTTCTTATAGTCCAATTTTGCATACAATTCTTTGTTCACTTTTCCTCTTGCTTCCTTTACAACTATCTTTGCTCTTCTTCTAGCCTCCTTGTACTCCTCTATGTTCTCGTCGCTCCAACTTTTGCCCAATTTCTTATAGCATTCCCTTTTGATCCTTATTGCTTGTTTTACCTCATCATTCCACCAAGATGTGTCCTTTTTTGGTGGTAGACCCTTTAGATTCTCCAAGTATCTCTTTCGCCACTTTGTTAAGGTGGACTCCATTGATAACCACACATCATTCACATGTGCGTCATTATCAATGGACCATACATCTTCCTCCAACATTTTCTGTGCAAAAGTTTGTTGGAGATTCCCCTCAAGCCTCCACCACTTTATCGTTGGCTCCCCTTGTACCTTAACTCTCCTTCTCTTTCTACCTTGAAAATCAAGCAGTAGCGATATTCATATTTTGATTCATGTCATGTGATGTGACTAAGTGATGTGACTAAATGTATATTGCCTAGGGGTGGGTTCGGTTGCTTCGGTTCGGTTTTGACCTAAAACCAAACACAGAACCAAAATGAAATGTTCGGTTCGGTTCGGTTCGGTTTCTTTCATAAAAATATCCAACCACGGTTTGGATGGTTCTGTTGGTTTCGGTTTGGTTTCGGTTTTTATTCGGTTTTTTTAAAAACCAAAAGTCCAAGTATGAAAATAACAGGAAGACAATTGGCATGCAAATTTAGTAATTGATTCTAATGCGAAGTAATTGAAAAGACATTAAAGTAGCAGAACACTAAATAATCACCAATTCACCACCATTCTCAAAAATATCATTTTAACATGTAAAGCAGTAACCCATTCAAGCATGAGCTCCATTTTAAAAACAAATGAAAGTAGGTAGTTAAGCTAGTCTGTCATACCATATTAAAAAGTAGTACAAATTTCAGCATGAACATATTGATAAAAACCAGTGAGCAACATAGTTCAGTGAAAATAAATAGCAAAAAAGATAAGGTAATGAGCTCTCATTTCTCAATCCATCCTGCTAAACTGCCAAAATGTCAAACAGCTTTTCTCAATCCATCCATCCTGCAGCCCTGCTAAACTGCCAGTATCAATCAATAAGCTCCCTCTCAATCCAACCTGCTAAAAAGCCAAAGTGTTAAACAATGCTAAACATATTTTGCAACCAAAACAAGTATACACAGTACAACATAACAGAGACATTTCCAATCTTTAACTCCAATTCAGTCCATACTTTGAACTTCAAAACTATCCCAGCTCACTGCTTTAAGGTCTCCACTTGATTCTACTTCCTAGTCCTAGGAGGTAACCTGGTATTTTCCACACTTTGTCCATTTGCAAGTTCTACATACAAACATTTATGGAAGGGCATAAAACATTAGAAGAATGTAAATTACTAAATATGCTAAGAAAATAAATCAATGTAATAAATAAAACCAGAAAACAATACATTTACCTTTCTCAATTTCTTCACAAAACTCCATCTCTTCAATAGTTGGCTCATGATGTAATGCAACATGAGTACTCCTAAGCCAATTTTGTGTACAAATTAATGCTTCCACCATTTTAGGACTTAGTGAACTACGGAATGGATCGATTACCCGACCACTAGTGCTAAAACATGATTCGGAAGCAATTGTAGAAACCGGGATTGCAAGAATATCTCTAGCAATATATGCCAAAAGGGGGTATTTACAAACCCCATTCACTCTCCACCAATTCAAGATGTCAAAATCTGAAATTTCATCCCCTTCGATAGAATCTAAAAGATACCTATCCACATCATTATTTATACTTCCAGCTTTTTTAGCCCTTCTCTGTTGCTCTTTTTCTGCCAATTTTCTCTCAACTTGTGTCATACTTGATGAAGTGTTCATCACCTCCACCACAGAAGTAGTAACATTGCCCCCAACACTTGGTTGTGATGTTTGCAAAGACATAGAAGCATCATTCATATACACATTTTGAAGATCATATAAAAATGCTTTAACACTAGTAATAGCAGCTTCAATCTTTTTGTCACCATCCCCATGGATCAATTCCAAATAATCTTCAAGCTTTTCCAGTTTATGACGTGGATCAAGAACCATAGCAGCCAATATGTACTCATTCACCTTATCTAAACTCCCCCAGTACTTATCATACTTGGCTTGCATAGGTATTGAAATTGAAGATAGAAGTGAACTTCCAGTTTCCTTTAACAAACCTTGAATTTTAACTAAGTCTCCAAAAACAGTATGAATTGTGGGTGTATTTGAACAACATACCTTCAAAGTAACTTCATAAAAAGGTCTCAAGAAATTAGCAAACACTTCTGCCTTCCCCCAATCATCATCAAATGGAGGCCCTTCCCTTAACTGTTCCTGTTTTTCCCCAATGAAATATCCTAGATAATGACCATCATCGTCTATCAACCTGTCAAAAGCCTTGCGGAATTTCAAAGCAGCCTGCAACATTAAAAATGTAGAATTCCACCTAGTAGGGACATCCATGATCACAAGCCCTTTACTCTCTATTTTCACTTTCTCCACACATTTCTTAAACATATCTAACCTTTGGGGAGAAGATCTTGCATATCTAACAGCATTACGAATGCTCTGAATGCATTTATTCAACAATCCTAATCCATCATTCACAATCAAGTTCAAGATATGAGCCACACATCTCATATGTAAGTTTTTTCCATCATGCAACAGTACATTGTCAACTCTCCAAGAACTTATTCTTTTAATTAAATCTTTCAACCCGACATCATTGGAAGAAGCGTTATCAACCGTAATGGTTAAAATCTTTTCTATGCCCCACTCTACTAAACATTCCTCCAAAAGTTTACCAACAGACTCACCCTTGTGATTTGGAATCACACAAAAATTCAAGATTCTCTTATGCAACATCCAATTACGATCAATAAAATGAGCTGTAAGTACCATGTAATTAATGTTTTGCACGGAGGTCCAAGCATCAGTTGTGAGACACACCCTATATGAACTCAAATCAGTTTTCAGTTTACTCTTTTCTGAATAAAACAGATTAAGCACGTCTCTAGCAATAGTTTTACGGCTAGGAACTTTCCAATGAGGGCATGCAACCCTACAAAAATAGCGAAAGCCTTCTCCTTCTACATGACTAAATGGCAACTCATCTAGAACTACCATTTGAACACACGCCTTTGTGATTTCTTCTTGAGTGCATCCTATAACCACTAAATCTTTTGACTTACCATAAGTCAACACTTTTTGTTTTTTACTCCATTTTTCTTTATTTGGAGGGTACTCAGTACATTTTTCCATATGATTAATCAATGCAGTGGTACCATTTATTTTTGGGTGAGCTGCAAACCCTTTGTGCTTGCAATAATGACAAAATGCTTTAATCTTACCAAGCTCAAATCTCCTTGTGAAATGTCCCCAGATTTCTGCCCGCTCATTTTTTTTCAATGCTTCCAGGTACTCTTCCTCAGTCAATCCACCCAAGTCTATGTCTTCACTTGCATTCCCACTCAAAGATTTCTCAGATCTGACTGAGTCTTGTGCTGGTAATTGAGCATTAGATGATGGTGTTTCATTAACGCTGTCAGTCTGGCCAGCCCCCTTCATAAGAAGCAAAAAATAAAATTAAAGATTGAATTATTACGAATTTTATTTAAAAAAAAAACAGAGAAAGACACAAATATGTTGTGTGCATACCTCACATTCAGATGTTGTTCTACTAAACTTATTAGAAGCCGTTGACCCCTTGGAAGTTAAGGAAGATATAGACCTCTTCATATCTTACTTATCTTTGAGTAAGTGCCTCACTGTATAAAAAGAACATTAAGTCATTAACTTCTTCATACAATTTCACAAAATATTACAGTATTGCAATTTAAGAAAGTGATTAACTCATACTATCCAACATTCACAAAAAATAGATGATTCTGGTACAATGAAAATGATATCAAACCACTAAATATAGAGGATTATAATAATTGGCAATACATTAAAGTAATAGACCCCTAAATGGCTAAATATGCAGTTCACATTTAGTAAGTTATCATAAGTTCAATAGGTCTTCTGGTGTGAAATTAACAAATGAAATTTTCAAAATGAACCATATAAAAGCAAGCACTGATAGAAGGGAAGCAGCAACATTAACCAACATAGGCAATCATAATAGTCAGGTAATTTAATATGCGTTTTTAGATGATTCTTTATTACCTGGTTTGGAGAATAAGACCATGCAAAGAAACCTTAAAGAAACTTTTTAGAACAAATCCACACAACAAAACCATTTACTCAGACTCAGAGAGAGTTTAGTGAGTCTTATTGAACAACTATTTTTTCTCAAATGCAGTTAACGAATCTAATACGTAGTATATAAAATATTAATCATAGTAGAACTCAAAAAAATTATAGATAACAATAACATCATAATAATCTCAAATTGTAAAGGTGAAATGTTACCTCTGTTTGAAATTCTTCGATTGGAATCAACTTGTAATAGATCCAAAGATGTCAACAATTGATAGAGGAATGAAAGCTGATGAAGAGAAGTTTGGTTTCTCATAAGCTCATCTCTCCTATTCGAGAAGAAAGTCGGAAGAAGTTTAGAATTCCGCCGCCAGAGGTGAAGTGCATCTGCGAGATACTCTAAGCCTCTAACTCCTCTAAAGTGCAAAGCTCAAGTCTGCCTAGGGTAAAACTTAGAAGACCGTAACTTGATCAGCCACTAATTGAGCCCAATTCTGGACAAAAGCCCAAGTGTATAAAATAAAATATTTAGTTTTAAATGTTTCGGTTTTTCGGTTCGGTTCGGTTCTGAAGAGCCAAAACCGAAACCGAAACCGAATAGAAACGGTTCGGTTCGGTTTTTCCTTTCGGTTTCGGTTTTTTCTCGATTCGGTTGTTTTTTGTTGCGGTTCGGTTATTTTCTGATTCGATTTCGGTTTTCGGTTTTCCGGACCCAGCCCTAATATTGCCTCCGTCTCCAAAAAAGTTTTCTTTCGTCGAGATACACAACCTTTAAATTTTTGTCAGTCCTACTTGTATTTTTAAGTTATTTGTTTGCTCTACTGAATTTTACATCTTTGTTGGAATCTGACCCTTCTTAAAGGTCTAAGATTTTTTGGGCAAGGGACTCTTTCTTTTGGGACTGATGCAATAATTTATTTCTATTCTGAAGAACCAAATATATGATGTTCTGGAGAAGGAACAAACTGTCTTTAAATTTGCTTTATTTTATCATATCTGAGTTTCACCAAACTCAATAGGCGGAGAAAGGGTGAACTTTAAAATTTGTGGTCTTGGAATCAATGACCATTTTCCAGAGGCGATGTTTATGTATAAGCCCAAAGCGGAATGTTTTCTTTTTCTACAGGAGTTACATTCACTACCTGTGTAACTCAATTATAAATGGACAAAACCGTTTCTGATTTCAACAATGTGTAGTGAAAACATGACATCCCTTCCTATGTATAAAGAAGTGAAAACATGACAACAATTTTCATTTTTGGTTTATTTTTAGGTCTTTCTTGTAGGGTCCAACGAAGAGACCTTGAGAGATGGGGGGGGGGGGGAACCCGGGCCTTTTTTTATAAACTGATGTAGAGGTAATATAGAGATAATATTTGACATATATTTTATTTTTTGTCTTAATGCGTTATTTGCTGCCTATTTATTATTTATGTATTTCAAAAACATTGCATGGCTACATTCTGTGGTGAAGGTAGGGCTGGACTCGGGCCGGTTCGGGCCCGGTTCGGGCCTGGGCCCGACCGGGCCTCGGGCCAGGAAAGGGGAGGCCCGAGACCGAACCGCCGGTGGCCGGTTCCGGGCCAACCGGGCCGGGCCGGGCCAAACCGGCCCAATTTTTTTTTTTTTTGGTTCTCCTATATAATCCCCTACCCCTCCCCCTCAACCCCAAACCATCCCAAACCACCTCAAATGGCCCAAAATACCTAATCCAACCTAAAACTTAAAAAAATTTCAAAAAAAAAAAATTAAAATTAAAATCCGGCCCGGTTCACCAAAAGCTGGACCCGAGCCCGGACCGCCCAGCACCCGGGCCGGGCCAAACCGAACCGGTGGACCCACCGGGCCACGGGCCGGGCCGGGCCAAACAGTGACCGGGCCGGTTCGGTCCCGGGTCGGGCCGTCCGGCCCGAGTCCAGCACTAGGTGAAGGTATGAATGACGGGAGTTCAAGTGAAGATATATCTTTCATGATAAAAGTGGCGCATCTGACGAGAATTTTTCTCTACATATGTATGCACAGTTGCACACACATTTTTATTCACTTATAATTTGATTAAGTACATACATACATAAAGATGTTGAAGACCCTGATGATGTGGAGACGTATTTTGCAGAATCCCAACGCGTTACCGAACACAAGCATCTTGTTTCGGTCAAAATGATGTTGGAATAAAAATGAATAAGTTACTTTACGGCAAGTCAGCAACGAGGAAGCGGTCTAGTCCAGCCGGTCGCCGACTCACTCTCCCTTACGGGAGGTCTCGGGTTCGTAACTCAATGGAGTGAGTTTCGGCCCTGATTACTCCAAGCCCCCTCCCCCAGACGCCCCCGGGAGTAAAAAAAAGATACTTTACGGCAACATGCATTTAAGTGTTTACCGAATTTCAAAGCGTGTAAGTGTGACAATAAGACATGCCTTTGATACATAGGCCTTCAGTCTAACCTGTGTTTGGCCATTTTTGTAACATGGCCTGATTGATGCATCTTTGTTTACTATTTCCAGTTAACTAAACTTGGACGTTAGGTGTAATATTGTGATTGTTAATGAGATAAATCAGTGTACCAAACTCCCGTTTCTCAATTTGTCTATGTACACCCACTTTTTTGGCCTCCATCAATCTCGTTCTGTCCTGAATCTCCGATTGTACAAGACAATGCCCCGTACTCATCCCAGTTTCCTCCTGGCATGTGAATATATTTTAAGCACTACCATTTCCATCAATTTTTAAGACAAAATAGTTTACAAATCTTACATCCTAAGAGACGTTTTTATATGTGAATATGCTACATTTCAGAAAAGCATAACTATGCAAGAAAGAATGGACGAATTACTCTCCTCCCCTTTCTCTCTCTAACACTTTCAAGCACTGCCTTCTCCAATAACAACATTTCATTCCTTATCCGGATCGACCTGCCGGAGCTCCGACCTGTCAACTATGGCGGAGAGAGAGGGATGGAATGGAGATGATCGGAGTGAGACTAGTGACTACACATCGGAGGATGAGGGGACTGAAGACTACAGGCGCGGAGGCTACCACGCTGTCCGAATTGGAGATACATTTAAGCACGGGCGTTACATAGTCCAGAGCAAGCTCGGTTGGGGTCACTTCTCCACTGTCTGGCTAGCTTGGGACACTATAGAATCCAAATATGTGGCCCTGAAATTTCAAAAGAGTTCTCAGCATTATACTGAAGCAGCAATGGATGAAATTACAATACTAAAGCAAATAGCTGAAGCGGACCCTGATGATACAAAGTGTGTTGTGAAGTTACTGGATAACTTTAAACATTCAGGCCCCAATGGCCAACACGTTTGCATGGTTTTTGAGTACTTGGGTGATAATCTGCTGACCCTCATCAAGTATTCAGACTATCGAGGGATTCCTCTTCACAAGGTGAAGGAAATTTGTGCCCACATTCTAGTGGGTCTAGATTATCTTCATCGTGAACTCTCTATAATACACACAGACTTAAAGCCAGAAAACATTTTGCTTCTGTCGATGATTGATCCAGCCAAAGATCCAATAAAGTCTTGTGCGTCACTCATTCTCCCATCCAGTAAAAACAAGGTTGTCTCAGAGACGGGGTCTTCAAAGGAGAGTAGGAGCTCAAATGGTGATCTGACAAAAAACCAGAAGAAGAAAATCCGGAGCAAAGCTAAGAGAGCTGCTCAAAGTTGTGCTGGAAAAGAAGCTTCTGATGAACTGGATCTAGATAATGAAGTAGGTACTCCTGAACATTCTAATCATGATGAAAATCCAGACGGGGACTTAAATGATGATCAAACTGAGTGTAAATCCCAAGAAGACGTACCCAATAAAACCAGCGGAAACTTAATAGACGGGAACCAAGGAATTCAGAAGCATAAGAGAGGCAGCCGTTCGATAAGGCAGAAGCTGTTAGCTGAAGTGGAACTCAAATGCAAATTGGTCGATTTTGGGAATGCATGTTGGACTTATAAACAGTTTACAAGCAATATCCAGACTAGGCAATATAGATGTCCAGAAGTGATCCTGGGTTCCAAATATTCAACTTCTGCAGATCTATGGTCCTTCGCTTGCATTTGTTTTGAGATGGCAACGGGAGATGTCCTTTTTGATCCTCATAGTGGTGACAATTATGACAGAGATGAGGATCACTTGGCCTTAATGATGGAGCTTCTTGGGATGATGCCGCGAAAGATTGCGTTAGGGGGGCGCTATTCATGGGAGTTCTTTAGTAGATATGGAGACTTGAGGCACATGAGACGGTTGCGGTTCTGGCCGATAACCAAGGTGCTCATGGAAAAATTTGAGTTCACTGAGAAAGATGCAACCGAGATGTCAGATTTTCTTGTCCCCATACTTGATTTTGTACCAGAGAAAAGACCCACGGCAGCACAGTGTCTTAACCACCCATGGCTAATTGGAGGTCCAACCCACCCTGTGCCTTCTCGTGTAATTAGTTCACTTCCACCAGATGTCCCAGAGAACAGAAACATTATGAAGGAGAGAGATGTGAGGGAAACAATGGAAGTCAGGGTGGGGAATATGGTCATTGATGGAACTACTTCAAAGTTCAAAGTCAGCACCATGGTCACTATAGGCACCGTCTGCCAATAATAATTTCACTTGACTTGTCAGTTGTCACCGTTTGTTCTAGTTATATATATGTGGATATCTAGTTGTAATAATCTGAACTATGATCGGTTCATTGTTATTGTTCTCAATGAAATAAATCAAAATTTTGCAAATAAGACCGTAGGCAAAATTTGTTGACATGCAATATTTTTAGAATAATATTTTATTACACGAGACACTTTACTGTTATGAAAATCTTTCATTCAATAATATATAAATTCCCTTAATTTTATCCCTCTTCATCATCTATCATACATTTCAAATTTTTTTCTCATACTTTCTAGTTATACTTTTTCTATGATATTTACAATTTCTATTATATGTCAAGTTTTTAACTTAATAAACTTTCTTAAATTTATAAAATTAACATCTTATTATTATAAATTGGCTAAACCTATATACGGAGTAGTATATATACCCTAAATCCTAAACGTTAAACTATAAACAATATCCTTGTATAGTTTAACTTAATAAACTTTCTTAAATTTATAAAATTAACATCTTATTATTATAAATTGTATATTTACTTAATTTCTTATTACTCCGTATAATCAACTTTCTTAATATTATAAAATTAACATCTTATTATTATAAATTGGCAAAACCTAAACTTTATGGCTGTGTTTGGAAAACGGCTTATCAGCCGATTTTTAGCTTCTTTGACCAAATTTAACTGGTTTGACTGTTCACGAAGCTGACAATGTTGTTTGGTAATGAGCTGCTTCCTCTGGCTGGTTGAAGTCTATAAGCCGAAAACGGAAACATTGAGGGTAGCAGCGTTTCGCTATGGCTGATGCTTGTGAGTTCTTTTTTACCCTTCATTGTTCTCTATTTAGGGGGTGTTTGGAACTGATTCTGCTTCTGTTTTTTTTTAAAGCAGAAGCAGAATCAAAATCAGTTTTCAGAAGCTGGTCACTCCCAGCTTCTAAAAAAACTGATTCTAGGAGCAAATTTGAGCACCAGAATCACTTCTGCACTTTCACCCAAACACTCCAGCTTCTTCTTCTGCTCCTTGAAGAAGCAGAAGCAGTTTTAAGAATCAGATTCAAACACCTCCTTATTTTCTATCGATGTGAAAGTTTCCGTCAGACTGTTGTAAACAAATGTCTCATTTTCCACTTATACTCATATAATGTGTCGGCCGGCATATTTCACAAAACTCAAGGTGGGTAATTGATAAATTAAATTATCTCTTGATCATATTTTTTGTTTTGTTTTTGACCTAATTCCTTTTTAATACGTAGTATATAATTTGTTTGCAATAAAAAATAGAACGTATAATTTTGAAATGCTTAAGGAGAAGTTAGATTAAATACTAATGTCCTAATATGTCTTTTTACATTCAAACAACTATTCTTATACAGCTAGTTTACCAAACATTTGCTAACGATAAACTAACATAATCAGCCAACTAAAACAGCTAACACAACCAGCTATTGTCAATCACTTGTCATAACCAGCTAACAGTTAACAACTAACATTTGATTGTCAAACAAGGCCTATACCCTAAATAAATCTTAAAGTTATATACATCATCTTTAAGTTATTTATCAAATAAAACTTTAGCATCTTATTCTAAACGTTAAATGATTATTCTATTCATCTCAAGAAATTCTTACCACTTGCTTTTTGGTTGTCCCATAAATTCTTCCCATTTTTCATTTTGGAAAATTTTGTTTGATTAATAATTTAATATTCATTTACCCTTATGAGAAAATTGGGTGTATGTGTATAATTAAATATGTGTGTTTAAGTTAATATTATGGATTAACAAAAATTAGGTAGATAGCTTTTATTAAAATTCACCGGTGTACTTTGCCCGTTATAAACCTTAGTCAGTTTCTTCACCCGTGAAGTATCTTTCTTAGTCTGCAATTTTCTTCCAGTATTGTAAACCGATCATGCTGCAATATTTTCTTCTAATTTCATGTGGCAGCAACAATATACAAATTCGCCAACATTTGCTGGTTTCTCTGAAATATTGGAGTCAATGAATGTGATTAACACCACCGTTTACCACCAAGATTACTTGGTGTCCAATTATTATGATGTGATAATATAGAAGAACTGTATTTGCAACCATAATTAGGAAGTTTATACTCTGTATACAGTAGTTAAAATTTGATGGATTTTATGTGACACTCCGAAAATTTTAATGAAAGAAAATAAAGATTTTTTTTTCTCGAATAAAATGCTTTAAGAGTGGCATTTTATTAAGTGAATCAGATAAAATTTAAACATTTGTGACAATGTAGTGGGAGTGGTATACTTCAATAATGGGAGTCACATTTTTAGATTGATCCTGTTGGAGGTATTGGTCCTACCAAGGCCTCCCTTCCACTTTATTTGTTGAGGCTTGCACCCTATTGTTTTACTCCCACTTTGGTACCTTTACCTTGGTATTTTATCTGATCAATAACATACCTATTTGAGGGTTGACTTACCCACTTGGCTGGCCCCTCTGTGTTCTGTCCGCTGCATACTTCACTTGTCTTGGCCTATGCTTGTGACTTTCCTTTGTCTAAGATGCATGTGAGTGTCTTTTGTTTGACCTCACCCGTGACTCCCTTTGGCAGCCTATTTGTATCCTCTGCTTCTTCCCTTGTTGAGTAGCCTGCGAGAAACACTTCCAAAGAGAGCAGTGCTCTCCTTCTTCTCTTTCCCTTTGTGTGAGAATTGAGAGTAGGACTTAGTGGTGAGACAAAAACAGAGAGTTGTGCTAAAGCTTCCCCTAGTGTGGTGTATGTGAGTAGAGTGTGTAGAAAGACCTGAGCCGGAGACGGAGACGATCCTTACAGTGGTATCAGAGTCGGAACCGCCGTCTGCCGCCGTCCGCCGCCGTCCGCCGCCGCCGTCAGCCGCCGCCGTCGACTGGAGCTCGCCGAAGGTCTTGGAGCTGCCTGGTCGTTCGCACGATCTCGCTGAGGTCCCTGTTCGCTGAAATCAAGCTCGCCGCCGCAGGAAATCGCCGCCGGAGTTTCTGGCCTTCACCGGAGGGACTCGCCGACCGTGGAAGCTTGCCGCCGGAACTCTCAGATAGATCCGCCATAGCCGACTGGAGATCCGCCCGCTGGAGCTGCTCGCCGGAATCCAAGCCGTCGTCGTCGCAGGGAAGCTCGCCGCCGCTTGGAGCTGTTCGCCCGTCGTCTCCTGGATGCCCGCCGGTTGTCGTTCGTAGCTGGTCGCAGAAAGCAGGACGCCGGGTACAGTACATCGCGATGAAGACGAAGGCGCTGGGTCTTTCTCGTTTCAATGAACGACGAAGGCTCTGAAGCAGACGCTGGATGCTGGAGCTTAGGCCATCTTTGGGCCTATTTGTTGTTTTTTCTTTTGGGGCCTGTGGACTTGGGCTGGTGCTATTGGATTGCTGACTTGGACTGCTAGAGCAGTCTGATTAAGCTACTGAACTGCTACTGTTTTGGACTGGGCTGAAGCTGATTGCTGACTTGGACCGGGCTGAAGCTGCTGGACGTCAGTCAACCGCCGCCGGTCAACGCCGGTCAACGGTAGCCAACCCTCCAGAAAAATCCCAAATTTTTTAAATTTGGGTAGGTAAGGTCGAAACGCTCTCCTAGGGTTTCGCGAAGGTGAGTTTTCGATTAACGTTTTTTGTTATATTCCGGTTTTAATTTATTTTAATTTATTCCCCCTCCCCGCGGGCCGCCGGTTGATTTAATCCCGGCCGCCAACCCCCCAGGTACGTTCTAAACTCGCTCCTTTGTGGCAGTTTGTTTTAGTTAATTAATTAAATTGCTAAGTGTTATTTAATTTAATTGTTATGCGTAGGGGGTGGTTTATTGGGTGGTAGGGGTAGAATTAATTAGATTTAATTTTCTGCCCGGAATTGTTTGATTGCCATTATGTCCATTTTTTGTTATGTGTTGCATGCTGCCCGAGGTTATTAAAGTGAATACTTTATAACCCGGGTTGGATTATTTTCTGTCATTTCTATCTGTTTAGCTTTGTGTTCCTTTGTGGTTGATACCATGGCTGCGAATCAGTATGGTATGCTTCCATTTAATGGAAAAACAGATTTTGATATTTGGAAATAGAAAATTAAGTGTGTGTTAATACAGCAAAAAGTTTTCAGAGATGTCACTGGTATTTTCCTTGAATCAGAAGATAAGGCTAAGCAAATTGAAATGAACGAAACTGCTTGTTCTACTATTTACTTGAATCTGTCTGATTCTGTGCTTAGGAAAGTGGGTATTCTTGAGTCCGCTAAGGAGTTGGAGAAATTGGATAGTCTCTATACTGATACCTCTTTACCAGGGAAGTTGTTCTTGCTAGAGAAATTCTTTAGGTTTAGGCTTGACCTGACTAAGGATATAGATGAGAACCTGGATGTGTTTAATAAACTGATACAGAATATCAAACAGGCAGGTGATAAACACATAGATGATTACACTCCCATAGTATTACTTAATGCCATTCCCGACTCTTATAATGATGTTAAGTCCGCTATTAAGTATGGTAGGGATGAGATTTCGTTAGACATTGTTGTGAATGAGTTAAGGAGTAAGGAATTAGACCTGAAGCATGCTAGGGGTAGTGCTAGTCAGTCCAGGGACTCCGGTGAGGCTATGTTTGTTAGAGGTAGATCTAAGGGTAGGTCTAAGAATTCTAAGCAAAATAGTCAGGGTAAGAACATTAGTCAGCCTGGGAGGAAGAGGAGCAAATCTAGGAAGAGAGTGTGTTACAATTGTGGTAACACTGGCCATTTCATTAAGGATTGCCCCCACCCTAAGAAGACCGAGCATGCTAGTGTAGCTATTGATAAATGTGACCTTGGTGATATTTTGATGGTTTGTGACCATGTTAATTCTGTGAGAAATTCCCTGTCTGAGCATGAATGGTTGATTGACTCTGGTTGTACCTATCACATGTCCCCCTTTAGAGATTTGTTTTCTACTTATGAATTATGTGATAGTGGCTACGTTTCCTTAGCTGATAATAAGAGATGCAATGTGCTTGGTGTTGGTGATATATGTCTGAAGTTTTCTTGTGGCTCTGTGTTTATCATTAAGAATGTGAGGCATGTCCCTGATTTGTGTCATAACTTGTTATCTGTTGCTGCTTTGGAGAGTAGTGGGTTACAGGGAAAATGGGGGAATGGTTGTATGAAAATCCTGAAAAACTCGCTTGTTTTGTTTAAAGCTGAGAAGGTGAATAACC